CAGTTTGGGTGTGTGTGTTGTCTGGGTGTAAAGGCAGTGGGTGGGGGGGAGTCTGCAAACAAAGATTCAGAAATCAAGCTGTTCACGTAGAGCCATCCTTGTCTACAGCTGACTCCGTGGTGCCATACAGGTTTCTTATAGAAGCCGCAGGTTGCATCTGTGGGGCAGCGCTGCTTGCAAACCATGTTTCTGTTCATGTGAGAGTTTGGAACGATCCACCGCCATCCCCAGATCTCTGCTTGGCACAGCCCCTCTTTCTCTTACTCCCAAGTGGCCTCCTTCTGTGTGACAGTGTTGGACTGGATGGGCCATTGACCTGATCCAACATTGGCTTCTCTTATGTTCTTACGTTAATGTTCCCTCTGCCACCTTCTAGTTTTAGAGGACTAGCGCTTCAGCACTCCTAGCATGCAGACCTGTGGGCTGCAAAAGTGACCTACAACCACCCCCTCCCTTCACATCTCTTGCATAAGCATGACTGAATGAGGTGTGGAGTGGGTCCAGAGATAAGAAAAAGAGATGACCAAGGGAGGGACGTGATAGAGGTTTATAGAATTAATCATGGGGTGAAGAGAGTAGACAGAGAGGTATTTTTCTCCCTCTCCCAAAATAATAGAACTCAAAGGCACCCAATGAAGCTGATGGGCGGTAGGGTTAGGACAGACAAAAGGAATTACTACTTTACACAGAGAGTGATTAAAATGTGGAATTAGCTGCCTGAGGATGTAGTGACAGCCACAGGAATAAACAGCTTTGAAAGGGGGTTAGATAGATTCATGGAGGATAAGTCCGTCAGTGGATACTAGCCATGGTGACTGAGGGGAACCTCCACATTCAGAGGCACTAAACCTCTGAATCCCAGAGCTGGGAGGCAACATCAGGGGAAGGCCTTGGCCTCTATGCCCTGTTGTTGGCTGTCCAGAGGAATTGGTTGGCCACTGTGTAAGACAGGATGCTGGACTAGATGGACGATTGGTCTGATCCAGCAGGGCTCTTCTGGTGTTCTTATGTTCTTCTTAAGCTACCAGTATTCAAACTATAAAGAAATTTAATCAAAATACATACAGAAGTCAAGATCAGTAGTGTTCAGAAACTGTCTATTACCTCAGTTTTCTACATTGGGGGGTTCTCTGTGTTCAGCTACATGTTTTCAAGATGGCATCCAAGCGTTAATTCTTCATGTTAAATGGTACACTCATGCCATGGAAGCTCACGGGTGACCTTGAGCCAGTTGCACACTGTGTCAGCCTAACCTCCCTCATAGGATTGTTCTGAGAATAAAATGGAGGAGAGGACCATGATGTAAGCTGCTCCCATTGGGGAGAAAGGTGAGGTATAAATGAAAAGTAAATTCTGTCTCTCTCCTAGATGCTGCTCTGTGAGTGAGGTGTTAGCTTGCTTTCATCCTGCCAGGGCCATCTGCATATCAATGGCACTGGATTGCCCTGTGCCTGGGAAAATGACTCATTGCCCTGAAGCTTTCTCATTGCCAGCAATTAACCTGTGAAAAGGCATTTGAGGGGTCTGTAGAGTAAAGGCCCAATTACTGTAATTTTGATGTGGCTCCTGGGTGTAGGGCATTTCTCCACCGCATCTTTCGGCCTGTTTCATTCCCTTTGGCAGCAGCCGTCACTGTGATGTGAGACACAGGTGTTGTAGGCTAGGATGCCTGCTGGCATCTGCCTAGACTTCAGGTGGTTTGTGCGCGTTTACAAGTTTAACTGATTCCTCCTTCATAGTTTTGAGATTTTGTTGTCGAAGGCTTTTACGGCCGGAGTTCATTGGTTGTTGTAGGTTTTCCGGGCTGTCTGGCCGTGGTCTTGGCATTGTAGGACCTAACATTTCGCCAGCAGTTGTGACTGGCATCCTCAGAGGTATAACACAGAAAGATGGAGTACTCTCTGTGTCAAGGTGAGAAGACAAATGGTAGGCAGGTAATTGAGATTTTATTGTTGTAGCGACTGCAAAATATAAAATCTATCTTTTTAATTGGTGTACCTTGCTAGGAGCTGCGGTGGCTCCTAGGTCACCTTACCAGCAAAAGAAACAGAAAGATCCTTAAATTCCTGGAGGCAGCAGAATCTACCCTGCAAGGTTTGGAAATCCTTAAATTCCTGGTGGCAGCAGAATCTACCCCGCTTACAAAAGCAAAGAGCACATTTAAAGGGAAAACCAGTCCTCCCTAATAAGAGGATGCCACAAATGCATATTCTCTTAACAATATTTTTTCTCAGTTATATTAACCTCTGTATAACGCTGTGGCTTTACCCGCTCCCCCCCCCACCCACCATCCCTCCTTTGTATCAAAAACGGAGATGAGCACCACAACCCTAGAGTCGGACTCGACTGGCTTTCGAGCAAGGGAACCTTTACCTTTTACCTTGCTAGGATGCATTCCATGGGTGTTTCAGAGACTGGATAAAACCTTGATTGATAAAGCTTTAAATTGTTTGATCCCTGTGTAACTCAGGCTGCCTCCTTCTCAGCTTCCTTCTGATCGGGGGTGGTGGTGGTGGTGAGTCTCATAGTCAGGGGCCCAACTTGTGGCTTGGCTCACTAACCAGACCTATAATTTATGATTGCCATTGACCTTCTGGTATGTGCAGAGAACTTGGGGATCAGAGAAGTGTTTGCCATAGTAGTAATCCTCTGTTGAGCAACCCCCCAAAGCAGTAGTGCCTCAGAGCCACCACCATCTTCTACAGAAGCATAACAGGAAGGGACAGAACCAGATCTTCACTTTCCCTATAGACAAATGGGTGATCGTTGAAAATAAATTATTTGTCTCTGTATTCTGCTTCGTTTTTTAAATGGCAACAGCAATGAAGGATCCAAGTGCTTACCACTAGCGAGATAAATCTGATTCGAAAGTGTAAGAGTGGGATCCTAGTGTCATGCGTTGTATAGCAATAACATTGTTGTCCAGCCTATATTATCAAGTCTGGTTATCCAGGAATGATAGTCCCAGAAACTCTCTTTTTCTCTGTCAACAGAAACACCTTCTTCAGAGAGAAAAGTAGTGGTGACTCCAGGCCAGAGGGCAAAATGGCAGCTACTTCCTGAGAGCTCTAGAGCACAGCTGGAGTCCATGATGCGTGGGTTAATATTGTAAGTACCAAATGCGTCTCCAACATTAGTGTGCTCCTTGCTGTTACGAGGCTTCATCTACCCTGAGAATTTTGTTGCATTTCCAGCTTAAAACTATGGGTTTGATCCAAAGCCCTGCCTGCAGAAGGACTTATTTAGATTGGAGATGTAAAAGAAATTTCTTTTCTTTTTCTGAAAAATTGAAATATATGAAATATTTAGTGTCCTATGAAACCCAAACTGATTTTAATGTTTTAACAAAAATGCTTCATTTACCACTTACATAGCATATGAAGTTGCAGTATTTGATTTATTTATGGGATTTGAAAGTTATAAATGCCTTAGTTTTGTACGAGCAGAATTGCAGATACCCAATACTTGAGAGAAAACTGCAAGCTGGTGCACCCTATGCTATCTTAGTACATGTACCTTAATTTTTACAGTCCGGTTAGAGAGTGCTAAGTTGTCAGTGAAACTTTCAGTCTTCCTCTGAGACTTTGGTGCAGTTTCTGCCCCATCTCCTTCTAATCTTTTTTCTCCCTCCTGCAAGGTAGGGCAATCAGTTCCTTTTCCCCTAGTCTGTGGGTAAATGTGTCACAGTGATTTGAGGGAGAGGGGAAAAGATCAGCCACATCAGGTCAAAAGGACAATAGAAGGCATCAACTGTTGAGAAGCACTGAAAGCCCTGCATACTTCCCTAATGAAGATTAGTTATCCTTCTAGGTACAGAAGTGCATTTTGGATTTAAGAGCTGTATATGTCTTACGGCATGCCCACTTTGTCTTTGAAAGCATTCCAGTCATTTGAAAAAGAAAATATTTCACAGGTTGTTTTTTTTAGGGGGGGGTAGTACTCTTTGATTTTTTTAATTTTTCCATCCTCCCACCTGCCTTCACATCTCTACTTTTGATCCAACTCTTCTTGCAGGACTAGCTTAAAAAGGAGAGAATAAAAAGATTTTAAGCAGCATAGATACCAGATGAGTAGTCCAAGCAATGAACATAAGACTTGCCTTAGTGGATCAGTCCATGCTCCATGTAGTCCTGCATTCTGTTTCAAACAATGGCTTGCAAGATGCCTTGGGAAGGTCACAAACAAGGTTTGAAGTCTTGCCTTGTTTATGCTCTGTATAGTAATTAAAGGTTCCTCTTCAGTCTTCTGTTCAGTCCCACATTGGGACTGTGCATGCATAGAGACCTGCCACACAGAAGAATTGTCTAGCTTTAGAAAACTGAAGGGGTTCCCCTTCCCTCAGAACATGCACATATTACATCTGCTGTTCAATGAAATCTTCTCCTGGCAGACATCATGGAACGTTCCTGGCAGTAGCAACAAACTCAAGGAATTTCTTTCAACCTGCGGGACAGCGAAGAGTAATCTTTAACCGTCTCTCTTTTTAGATCTATTGTTTACGAAACTCCCCAAGGCCAAAGGGAATTGGAAAAGCACTTAAACAACCTCAAGGAAAGGTAATGGAGACATGATAGCAAGAGAAATAAAGACGCGCAAGTGTTTGTGCCACGTTATCCTATGGTGTTCATAGACGTAACTGCAAAACTCTATTGCATATAGCTACCTAAACAAAGTGGGCAAAATAACTATTGAAACATTATTAGAACATCGGGCTTATAAACACAAAGATTTTAAAACCAGGTCAATCTGTTGTAAAGACTAATCCTAAGCATGGTTACTCTAACTGTGAGATTTGCCTTCTCCATTCTCCTGTGTCACCTCATGTCAGGCATTTGCTGCATCAGTCAACTGCCTCCAGTCTTGTATCTCTGTACATCTTCCTCCTACCAGTGTTGTTCCTTTCTCCACGAAGCAGTGTGTCACTCTAGCCCTAACACATGCTATTCTCTATAACACACATAAATACATATAAGGAAAGAATGAGGGTCACTATGCAAGCAGGTGGGCATTGCCCTCATAGTATACTGAGTGTTGGAGCTGCCTCCAATGTGCAGAGGCAGAAGTTGGGGCTGAAAGGACAATCTTTAAGTGCATTTAGTCTAAACTGGAGTCAGAAACAGTGTTGAGACCACAGAGCCGTTATACTGGTTAAACAATGGAAGTTAAAGTGGGAAGTTAATGGGTTATGAAAGGGATAGCCTATTTAATAACAATATTGTCTTAAAGGCCTAGCCTATTTAATTCAATCATTTTGTACTAACTCTAGCAGATGCTGAATATGGTCTTTGCACATTGAGAAAAGGGACTTACACAGTTGTGGGGCACTGAAAACCTCCAATGGTGTGTGTGAAATCCTAAATTTAGTGCACAAATTGGGTACCCTTTTTGAATGCTACAATTGGAGAGATGGGGATGAAGTCTTTTATGAACTGTTGAGGTCTTTATCATCAACTGTACTTCTGTAATATGGTAACTTGCTAAATGGGTTATCTTGGGCTTTATATAATACTAGTTCCTTGGACAGGTCTGTTACAACATAGTAGTAATTGTCTTTTTAATCAC